TAATGAGGGGGGTGTATTTTTTATTATTATTCTAATTTGTGTTTTTATTGTTTGTAAGCCACCTAGAGTCCCTGTGAGCAAGTAGGCGGCTATATAAATTTTCTAAATAAATAAATCTGTTCTCCACAACCCTGATATTTTTTACCCATGATATTGGGAATCAGAAGAGTGTGTGTGTATAAAACAATTGTTCAGAGTCAAGCAGTGTCATATTAGTCCACTGAAGATATATTTATTAGCATAATATTCCAATTTCTCAGTATTATCTTGAACTTAAGAAAACATCATCAGGTAGTGGTTGTATAGCAAAACAGTATTATAGCACCACCTAATGCCTGTTTCAAGTATTTATATAAAACAAAGCAAACTGCTACCATATAATAAATTAGAGCTGAGGTATTCTGCAAAGTATGAAATAGATTTATTCATTGAATGATTAGGAAAAATGAAAAGTTATATTTTGAGAACTATAGGTGACTATCCTACATTATAGCATTCTAGTGCACAATTGCTTATATCCAGCTGAATGAAAACAAAGCATATTTGACTGCCACTCTGTAGTTATTCCCCAATCAAGTCTTAAAAATCAATCATGATTTTAAAAAAGTAAAAAAAAAATCTGCTTTGATATAACATTCAGCTTTATTTTAAGATTCTTTTACAACTCTGATGCAATTATTAGTGCATAGACTGTGATATACAAATAAAAGAAGCAATGCAATCTGACATATTTCTATATATGAAAACAGGAAGAACAACTTACAGAATAAAATCAGTTTCACAGATGACCAGCATCTGGGCAAAGTTAAATCACTTCACTCCTTGCAATAGCTATAAAAATTTCTTGCCCCAAATGAAAATTACATATTTTAACAAGTTGATCTCTTTCTGTTAATTTGAATGAAGACTTCAGTGGATTTATGTACAAGAAATATCTAACATTTCTAGATACAGTTTTTTGTATGGGTATGACACAAAAAAATAACTGCACCCTCTCATGTTCACAAAGCAGTTACATTTGGTAACTGACAAAGAGCAAGCAGTTGTGTTTCAAGTTTTTCCTAACTTTTGCAAATTCCATTTCCAACTTCAAGCAAACTTAGTATCTTAAGGCAAAGTGATATTCTTTCATTCTGAATAGCTAACTTCGTAAATTCTACAGACTGTGAAAATTCTGGAGTTGGAGGCATTTCTTTAAGAAGCTGTGTCACAAGTTGGGCCTGATCTGATGCTAATCTTGCCAACTGACAGAGTTTTCTTTGCTCACATGAACTAACATGAATCACTGGTATGAGCAGAAGGAGATGTTTACTGAGCTGACGTACCTCTGTTAACTTCTCAGCCCAAAAATTTGTTTTTCCTTTGTCAAACAGGTAATCATTTCCCATCTTCAGAAAAAGAAAAAAAAATTGTTTACAATTACCTAGATCAAATAAACATGCAAGAATGAATGCCCATATGATATATAAGCAAACAAAGCAATGTTAGATGTACAGTACAATCAGACTATACTGTAATCAAATCAATAAAATTCACATCACGTTTGAACAACAGAATAACATCAAGCACCCCATTGTTCATGAAACCCAGAAAAGAATGATACCCGTTCCTTATGACCAACCACAGCTATTTTTTTGTTTCATTCCTTCCTTTCCTCTACTCTTCAGCCTGGCAATCACTTATCAAATTTTGTCACCCTTTCCAGCCGTGCAATAAATTTAGCATATGAGGTGATTAAAGGGATTGAAACTAGAAGGCGGAGGTGGAGTTTAACTTCAGCATCTAATGGGCGGGACAATCAACAAGTCTCTCCCTCCCAGCTTTTTTTTTCTTTATTGAAAAAATGTGGCTTTCTGGTGGGGGGGGTTTCTTAAGCAAGGGAAAGGTTTTGGAAAACTCATCCTGAAGCTGCTACCTTTGCATACAGGTAGTTGCCTTCCGCAAAGCCTACTAAGAGCCAGGAGAGGAATGCTGTTTCCAGAGAGCCAGCTGATTGGGGCAGAGGCCCAGTCCACAAGTGCAGCTTCATTGGCCAAACACAGAGGTTTGTTTGGAAGCCTCTCAGCATTGGAACACAGTGCTAGGCCCTAATCTAGCTGGGCTTTTCTCCCTGCTAGGCTGGGTTTTCAGCTTTCAGGATTTGCAAAGCTTTTTGCTGCGTATCTGCCTCCTTTATGGGCTCATCTGGGTGGGAGGCCTCCAAGGACGCGCCCCCCCCCAGGTATCCTATGCTCATTTAAGGACCTTTGCATTCAATTAACAGTGGCATCAGGGAGAGCAGGGAGTGGGGATCATTAAGCGAGGCTTACATAACAGTTCTCACCACCTGTGTCCATAATGAGCAAGCTCCATTATGATCAAGAATTACCTGTACATTCCTGTAGCCATATACTGTATCAGATATTCATTTGAAAAAGAAAGCTACCAGCAATTTTTTTTTTTTTTTGCTTAATGTCATTGATATAGTGGGCTTTTAAAAACCCAACTGATTCAAAAAATCTCTGGATTTTGACCAAACTTACAGAATATGATATACATAGCCCTGCTGAGTTAGTTTAATCCAATATTATTTGATAAATCAGAACAGAAGAATCATCAACAGTTTGAGATTATAAACTTTGGTCATCCAAGTCTGGATGCTAATTATATTCATAGGTGAATGATAACTAATTAAAAGTGTACTGTGCTAATGACGAAAGTGAATTTTCAATGGAAAAAACTTTTAATTTTAATATTGATTCTAAACTAGTTTCATATTTTAAAATAACATATCTTGAGTAATTTAGTATTAAATCTGATAAAACATCTGTGAACTATACAGTACAGAAGTACTGGCTGACAGACTTACCACAGTTGTAGATTTTAGATCATTCAAATCATCTTCTTTTAACAGCCACTTCAGTAAGACTGAGACTCCAGCACCTGTCTGTCCCCATAACTGTAGCAGTTCACAAAGTAAGGAGAATGCTAAATCCAAAGCTAAGGCTGCATTTACTACATGGAAGTCAATTTCTGATAAGGAAAATTAAAAACAAATTTTGAACTGTCTTATTAGATGTTATTTAAATAGTACAATATAATTATTAAAATGCAAATGTAATAGACATCTATTTATTCTTAATGTTAAATTATTGTTTATATCAGGGGTATCCATCCTTGGCAACTTTAACACTTGTGGATTTCATTTTTCAGAATTCTAAGGAGTTCTGAGAGATGAACTTCACAAGTCTCAAAAGTTGCCAACATTAGATAACCCTGTCTTACATCATCAACATTTCCACATGTTTGGATCCAACTGATAAATGTCTGACTACTATGGTTCTTTTTCTTAGCTAAAGTCAATCCACACAAATGTTGGTACTGTTTACAATACACCATCTGAATGCTAACTACATACAATACATTTCAGAATGCATAGGTTAAAAATTGCATGATTTATTTATCTATTTAAACTGGGGAATAAATTTCTTTTTTTCACAGATGTGAAACAAATTCCCTGAACCCTTCCAAAAACAGATCTTGCCTCCTTCTGGAATAAAGTCCATCATCACAACAAGAAAAGTGTGATGTGGTTCTCAAGTTGACAGAAATGGTGTATCTCCCTGCACGCAGCAGTGCTGTTTGTGTATAATCAGTGAGAAAATCCTGGTTGTCAACTACACAGAGACATACATTCAAAATGGATAAAGGGGTGGGGGAGGGGGAGTGCCATTAAAATTTTGTAATAGATTATTCAGTATAATTATAAAATGTCCTGCTCATCACTTTTCAGGATTGTAAAGAGTATGAATTCTAACATTTAATTAGTTAACCTAGAAGGTATATTTTGCTTCTTTAACCAGGAATTATATAGAAAGTCTTCGGATATATATTTTATGCTTATTGATTTTATTTGAAGATTATTATTCTTTTAAAGTATTTTTTTTATTAAATTTTTGAAATTTTACAAAAACAAAACAACCCATCCCCAAACCTCCCCAACCCTCCCATTCCCTCCCCCGACCTTCCCAGAGCTGAACATAGGCTTAATTACAATTTCTTCAAAAAGTCTTAAAAAATATATATATAAACCATGAATAAATCTAAATACTAAATACATTAATTAAACAAATTATAAAATAATTAACAGTAATATATATATAAAAAAACACAAATACCAAAAGAATACTTAAAAGAAAAAAAGAATAAAGAAAAAGAAAAAAAGATAAAGATAAAAGAAAATATAATAAGAGTAAAAAATAAAATTAAAAAAAAAGAAAATAAAATCTATAAGATATTTTAAATTTTAAATATAAGTTATTGAAAAACTAGATAATATTTTTTAATATCCAACTTATATTGTATAAAATCTATCCATTTTTTCCATACCGTAAAATACTTCTCCTGCGATTGATCCTTCAAAAAAGCCGAAATCTTTGCCATTTCCGCCAAATAAGAAACTTTAAAAAACCACTCTTGCAAAATAGGCAAAGATTCCTTCTTCCAACATTGCCCTACTAGCAGTCTTGCGGCTGTAATTAAATTTAACATCAATGTGGTCTCTTTAGTATCACAATCAGTTATAATACCTAACAAAAACAATTGTGGAGTAAATTTTACCCTCCTTCTAAAAATTCTTTGGATATTCCACCATATCTTAATCCAAAAGGCTTTTATATTTTTACACGACCACCAAATATGATAGTAAGTAGCATCCAAACAACCACATCTCCAACATTTAGGCTGTAAGTCAGGATACATACGAGACATTTTTTGTGGATCAAGGTGCCATCTGTAAAACATTTTATAAAAATTCTCCCTTAAGTTCTGGGCTTGTGTAAATTTGACATTCCTCACCCAAATAATTTCCCAGGTATCTAGTAGAACTGGTTCACCAAAATTTTGTGCCCATTTAATCATACATTCTTTAATTAATTCTGCCTCTGAATCCAATTCTACTAGCACCCCATAAATTCTCTTAATATGAGTTCGTCTTTGGTCTTTTACTTGTTTAAGAAAATTTTCATCTTCTCTAAGTAAACCCACATTACGGTCTAACTTCCATCTATCCACTATTTGTCTATACTGAAACCATGAGTATATAATATTTTCTTGTGCTAGATCTTTTAAAGTATTTTAAGTTTCAGAACAAGTGCTTTTTATAAAAGACAGGAACTAAAGTGTTCTGAGTCATTCTTTTTAATCCATTTACTGTACATCTAGCCTCCCACACATGTACTCATTTACAAGAAGGCCTTTAATAGTGCCAGATATAAATATGTCTCTTGTACACTATTGTACACAAATCTTTTTTCTCATGAATATATGAAGAAATTACTTCCTATTTTACTGACTGGTCATATATAAACATTAAAATACACAATCTGTAGTGCTAAGAATGGGGTATTATTAATGAAAAAAAATCTATATAGCAGATAAACTTTTATTTGTATACTATGAGGAACTAAACTGATTTTAACACAAAGGACAGTGTTGAATGCCGATATTCTAAATAAACAAACTAAATTCAATTACAGTAATTTCTCCAACTCTTAATTATTTGCTCCACTATTAAAGGAAGCCCACTGTATTTGATGGTGAGAGGGTGAAATATTTCCTCATTGACATCTGGGGTCAGTAATCTAGATGGTCTAAGACTAGAGTCAACATACAGTTCTGCTGTGATTTAATTATGCTAGTTGGTGTCCAGAACCCAAGTTCAGAATTTTTTTTCTTCTACAGCATTCTCCTATATATAATGGAAAGTACTCGCCTAGTTCTGGTACTGACAAGTATTTAAGACTGTATTCAAGTTATCTAAAGTAGAATCTTACCAGATTCAAAATCTAAAACTGGTATTTTCACTGCTTGCACCATTATAGGCATCTTAGGCATTTCACCATTTTCATCCACCTGCCTTCCAATGATTGAAGCAGTTTTATGCTTTCCCAGAAATGTGCTCACCAATGCTGTCCTCATTATAATAAAGCTTCTGGGAAGCAATCAGCAATTTAGTTCTTTTCTTGAATGGCCCTGTTACTCGATACACTGAAGTAAGCAGGAATTCCGCAGAGGATATGCTTGGAAAATTTATCAGTCGCTTCTTTTATAACTGTATATAAAACCTGCCTAGTTAGCAGCAGAAGAAAAATATTTTTTGTATGTTTGACTAGCTGTTAAAATATTTATTAAATTTCACTGGAAAGGAATTTCTGCAGTTCTTGTTTATTCAACTTGCTTCCTTCTGAAGTCTAGTGTTCATTGAAAGTTACATCAGGAGGAAGTACTTCACTATGGTTTGCAAACTCAAATGCTGGACAACAATAATGTTTAAAACAAAAAAAACACTGCAAAATATATAGCTCAAGAATTTAGTTACCAGTTTACTTCTTTATATTTGATGCTACTCTGACCAAAAGTCATTAACATTTGTAAATTCAAGTTCCAACATCATTTCATTAATACCACAGTAGTCATAGGGAGAATATATATAGATGTGCTGAAGTACTTTCTATATTCCAATTCAGTAGCTTTTTATATCATAAATCAAAAAAGCTGGAAAGGACCCAATTGGTGATGTCCCAATCACTTCCAGAATGTTCTGCCTATTGAGTAAGCACAAACTTGTAGTAGAAACAAACTTCTGATTCTACAGGTAACAGAAATTGTTTGCTGTTGTCTCATCTATATCCAAAGTACTCACTGCTGGGTAGCCATGATAGAAGTATTAATAATACAAGCCTGCAAGTGATAATCATATCAAGTGTGTAAAAATGTCATGATGCCAAGAGCTTTGTGTACATGTTTCTGCACCTATATAAATAATAAAAATAATTTAAAACAAAATTCCACACTGTTCTGAATTACCTTTATTCGTAAAGGCTAGCTCAATAATTTTTAGGTCCTTGGTTATGTCTTGAATTACTATGTTTTCACCTGTCTTAGACAGTGAATCTAATTGTAAATTACCTATAGATAATAAAATATCAATAAAGCAATCAAGGGTAGAATTAAAAAAATCATCAAATGATTCAAAGAGCAGGTTGTGCAAAGAAGCAGAAAAAATAACCATAAATTAGCATGTATAAGAGTGTTGCACAAACTGACTACAAGCAACAATATAACATAGTCACCAAAATAATTCACTGGAACATCTGTAAAAATTATCATGTGCTAGTAATGAAAAATCGGTGGGAACATATAATTGAAAAAGAAATAAAAAATGAGCAGATTTAAAATAATGTGGAATTTCAGATACAGACTGATAGTATCTTAGTTCATAAGACACCAGATTTAACTGGTGAGCATGTGGATAACTGATGTAGGAATACCGGGGGATAGAATAGAAGACATAGAATTGGAAATGACAATGTAGCAAGATGTGAAAGTCACAGCTGAAAGATTATGGCCTAAACTGGCAGCAGTGGTCCCAGTGCTGGGTGCCATACCAAAAAACTTGGATGACACTTAGAAAATCTGCACACTGACAAAATTATCATCTGACAATTTAAAAAGGCCATTACAAGTTTGGGAAAAACTTGATGCATATGAAGGCCAACACCAGCTAAAGAATTGACAGCTGTGATTTCACATTGTTGTAAATAATAGTAAAACCACTGCTCAATGCTGTTCATATATATAAGCCAAAATACTGCAATACAGTTTGGACTGGACAAATGTGCCACTCTCACCAACAACGGGGAAATAGTGTAAATCAGGATGCCCTATGGAAGAGACTGCCTCTGTAGGAAAGCTGACCCTTGCATTGGCTGAGCACTTCTTTCAGAAGCTGCAGAAAAACAGAAAGATAGTTTGGGTGGTCCTGGAGCTGGTTTAGGAGCAGGCAGAGTTCTGAAAACTGCCATAGCTTCTTGTGCGCTGGTAGTTTCTGAACCAGGCTGAGGCTCCTTTGGGGGACAATGACTGGCTGGGAGTAGACCCAAGGACTGTGGGGACTCAGGATGGGATGGGGATAAAATGGAGGGGGGATGCTGTGTCCATGCAGTCACTTCATAAGGACAATGACCATGTCAGGACTTCAGCAGCTCTAACTTCGAAACCAGGTCATTAGTAGTTTGGAGACTGCATCACAACCTCAAACAGTCACTAAAACAATTAGACATAAGTTGAAGACTACCTGTACTGTAATATATCCCAACTCTATTTAATGTCCTGAAGGCAGGATAAGAAGTAATGGATGAAAGATCATTAGATCCAACCTAGAATTGGGAAATTTCCTGACAGTGAGAACAATTAATCAGTTTAGTGGCTAGCCTCTAGATCAGTGGTTCTCAACCTTCCTAATGCCGCGACCCTTTAATACAGTTCATGTTGTGGTGACCCCCAACCCCCCCCATCCAGCTGGCCGGGGAGGGGGGACAGAAAGGCCGCTCCACTGGCTCCGCCCAGCCTGATTGGACAAGTGCCCAGGCAGGGAGAGGAGGGGGGGGAGAGAGAGAGCCAAGAGGGCGACAGCACAGGCAGAGTTTAGTTCAACCTCCTCCACAAAAAGGGCCACAAAGCAGCGCAGCCTCCCCTAGGACAGGGGTAGGCAACCCAAAACACTCAATGAACCACTTGGACACGGTTCCAACCGAAAACAAAACACTGGGAGCCGCAAAACCCTTTTGATATCTAAAATGAAGATAACACTCCATATATCCTTTTTTACCTTTAATGTATGTATGTATGTATGTATGTATGTATGTATGTATCTGTGTTTGTGTGTGTATATATAAAATAAAGATAAACAAGGATATATGCAGTGTTATCTTCATTTTAGATGTCAAAACGGTCTCTCTCTGTCTCTCTTTCCTCTCTTTCCTTTCTCTTTCCTCTCTCTCCTCCCTTTCCTCTCTTTTTTCTTTCTTCTCCTTCTTTCCTCTTTTTTCTTTCCTCTCCCTTTTTCCTTTTTCTCTCTTTCCTCTTTCCTTTCTTTCCTCTCCCCTCCCTTTCCTTTTTTCTCTTTCCTCTCCCTCTTTCCTCTTTCCTTTTTTCTTTTTTTTCCCTTTTTCCTTTTTCCTCTCCCCCTTTCTTTCCTTTCTCTTTCCTCTCCCTCTTTCCTCTTTCCTCTTTTCCTCTTTCCTCTCTTCCTTTCTCTCTTTCCTCTCCCCTTCTTTCTCTTTTTCCTTTCTCTTTCCTTTCCCTTTCTTTTTTCCTTTCTCCCTTTCTCTTTCCTCTCCCCTTCTTTCTCTTTTTCCTGTTTTTCTTTCCTCTCCCTCTTTCTCTTTCCTCTTTCTCTTTTCTCTTTCTTTCTCTTTCCTCCCTTTCTTTTTCTTTTTCCTCTTTTCCTGTTTCTCTTTCCTCTCTTCTCTTTCCTCTTTCTCTTTCCTCTCCCTTTCTCTTTCTCTTTCTCTCTTTCCTCTCTTTCTCTTTCTCTCTCTCTTTTCCTCTGTTTCTCTTTCTCTGTTTCTCTCTCTTTCCTCTCTCTCTCTCTCTCTAATGGCAGCATCATCGGGGGTCCCCACTGCCCCCGGCCCGGCCTCTGCCATGTCCTCAGCCAAACGGGCGGGGAGGGGGAGCAGGACAGGAGGCAGCGGCTCCAGCCGGGATTCTGCGCTGCCCAGCCTTGCCCTCCGTCCATCTGATGGAGCCACAGTGGGGGCTGGTGCCGCACAGCCCCTGCCAGCCCCTCCGGCAGCCCGGCTGCTCTCCCCCAGGCTATCCGTCTTCTCCCGGTGCCTGGGGGGGCACCAGGAGGAAGGAGAAGAGGAGGGCGAGGAAACCGCCACCACCACCCCAGCTGGGACTCAGCGCTGCCCAGCCTCACCCTCCACCCATCCAATGGAGTCGCAGTGGGGGCTGCTGCCATGCAGCCCCTGCCAGACCCTGCGCTAGCCCAGCTGCTCCCCCCCCCAGCATCCCTCTTGTCCTGGTGCCTGCCCGAGCCGCCTCGGGGGCAGCAGGAGAAAGAAGGGGAGGAAGAAGAGGAGGGCAAGGAGATAGATGAGCGGTGTTTCGGTTCCTAACACCATCGGAAATATGTGTTTTCCGATGGTCTTACGTGACCCCTGTGAAAGTCATTCGACCCCGAAAGGGGTCGCGACCCACAGGTTGAGAACCGCTGCTCTAGAACTTATGGGTGGCCCATCACTGGAGGCTTTTGAGAAGAGATTGGACAAACATTTGTCCGTAATGGTATAGGGTCTCCTGTTTGAGTAAGGAGTTGTATTGGAAGACTTCCAAGATCCCTTCCAACTCTGTTATTCTATATTCTATAATGTAACATACTTCCAAATCACTACTTATTAGAGAATTCAGGTTCATGGTGGATTAAAAATAATAAAACAAAATAGGATTGCTATGAATAGCAACATCAATAGGCCTGAATATTTGAATTGAAAAATACTGTCTTGGAGAAAACTGACACCAGTACAAAAAGAACTGGATGGAATGAGAGATTTCTTAGCAATTTTAGTCCTAAAACAGGACTGCCTAGTAAATGATACCATAAAATTAACTTTTCTAGAGGATGATGATGATGATGATGATGATGACCCTATACCATTTCGGACAAATGGCTGTCCAGTCTCTTCTTAAAAACTTCCAGTGTTGGAGCATTCACCGCTTCTGGAGGCAGGTTGTTCCACTGGTTAATTGTTCTAACTGTCAGGAAGTTTCTCCTTAGTACTAGGTTGCTTCTCTCCTTGATTAGTTTCCACCCGTTGCTTCTTGTCCTGCCTTCAGGTGCTTTGGAAAATAGCTTAATTCCCTCTTCTTTATGGCAGCCCCTGAGATATTGGAATACTGCTATCATGTCCCCCCTTGTCCTTCTCTTCGTTAAACTAGACATACCCAATTCTCGCAACCGTTCCTTATATGTTTTAGCCTCCAGTACCCTAATCATCTTTGTTGCTCTTCTCTGTACTTTTTCTAGAGTCTCAACATCTTTTTTACATCGTGGTGACCAAAACTGGATGCAGTATTCCAAGTGTGGCCTTACGAAGGCATTGTAAAGTGGTATTAATACTTCACGTGATCTTGATTCTATCCCTCTGTTAATGCAGCCCAGCACTGTGTTGGCTTTTTTGGCAGCTGCAGCTGCTGGCTCATATTTAAGTGATTGTCCACTAGAACTCCGAGATCCCTCTCATAGTTACTACTATTGAGCAAGGTACCCCTATCCTATACCTGTACATTTGGTTTTTCTTGCCTAAATGCAAAGGACATCCCTCAAACACACCCCAAATATCAGAAAACAAGCACATAAACACAAAATTTAACTATTAGGCATGCTAAAAATCAATAATAACCGACTCTCTGGCTTCTATAGATAATAGGCCCATAATAACTACAAATATACAATATAAGGAATGACAGTTCATTAATTCCAATATAATTTACAAGTGAAGCATCTAATTTTGCAGTCTGTCCACTCTGTCCCATTTAGTTCTCTTAAAACTGACATTACAGCTTGATCTGGTTTGCCAAGAACAGTATACAAGTAGTTATCAACATGCAACCATTTGTTTAGTGACCATTCAAAATTATGACAAGTGCTAACAACCACCCCCACCCCACCGGTCCTTATAACTGGTCCTCCCACTATCACAAACTCCACATATTCACATGATCGCAAATCAGTTGTTTGGCAATCATCTTGCATTTTCAACTGATTGCAGTGTCCTGTGGTCACCTGTTTGCCATCTGCAACTATTTTTGCTGGTTTCTTGTTGGCAAAAAAACCCGCACCCACTCGCTTGGAAAAACTGGTTTGCATTTACAACTATGAACTTGCTTAATGACCACAGTGATTCACTTAATGACTGTCATAAAAATGGTTGTGAAATCAAGTCTGAGTTGACTTATGATCACAATGACCTATAATGGAAATTCTGGCCCCAATTGTGGTGGCAAGCCAAAGACTACCTGCAATTTGAACCAAATATTAAATCAGCAATCTTACTTACAAATATAGTTTTCTGAAATCTCAGTTTAAATCCAATAACATATAACATCATGCATAGATTGTATTAATTCTATAAGAGATACATTTATGCAGTCATTTACTCTACTGGGCTTAGGAATGTTGAGCCTATTGAGGCTATAAAATAGCATTATTTCAATTTTGCTTTAAAAACATTTAAAAATGGACATCAGTGTTTGCATCCTTAAAGCCTCTGTATATTTCCTGACATGGCTGATATAGTACCTAGATGGCACCCTCCATTTCTTTTTTTTTTTTTTTTTTTTTATTGAAAATTTTTACATTTTACAAAAACAAATCCCCTTCCCATACCCCCCCCTACCTCACCCCCCCCCCCTTCCCAAGCTCCCAAACCCTCCCCTGGACTTCCCAGAGCTGAGTACAGGCTTAATTAAAAAAAAAAAAAAACTTAAAACACTTTTAAAACCTAAACAAATTTAAATACAATCATCATTCTATATAAGCTCCCTCCAAAAACACAAATTTAAACATTACTTTCTTTGAATATCTATATCTATAATATAAAATCTAATTTATCCCTCTTTCTTTATCCTAAAACGAAAAAATAAACATACAAATCTTTGTTATACCATTAAAGCTAAATACTCTTAAAGAACTTAAAGTAAGTACATATTTCCTTCAATCTTCATAATCTTCTCTCCTATCCAAAAAGAAAAAAAAAAAACAAAAAAACAAAAAACAAAAACTTAAAAAACCTATAAGTCCTAAACAAATCTAAGCACATTTAATTAAACAAATTATTTTGTCTTAAAAATATTAATAATAATATTTAAAAACTAAAAACACTTTAAAATCCTAAACAAATCTAAATACAATCATCACTCTATATAAACTCCCTCCAA